TGTGATATCTTTATAACTTTAACATTATGTAATTATTATGTATTGCTTCCATTTGTAAATATAGATTAGTATAGTGTGAACGGCTCCTTGGAAATCAATAACCTAGGTGTGTTGAAGGATAACCGTTGTAAAATAAGATTTTTAATAAAAAAATTAATAATAATAATAACTATTTCCCGAGGGAAAAGACGTTATTTTATAAGTGTTTTGTTATATAGCGACGAAACAAATATCAACAATGAACAACATTCATACAACAATATTTGTATTTCATGACAAAAACTCTATAGCGTAAACGAGGTTAAAATTTAAAAAACCTACTTAAATGGTTTCAGCAGCATATCCCTGCACTGCACTGTACAACAGAAATATACACGATATGTGGAGGGAAAACGTTTTTAGTATCCGAATAGAGAATCGGAGCTTGTGATGTCCGGTATCCAAACTTAAAATCTGCATGGTATCCCTCGGATATTGGGATACTGCAAATTTCAAGCGCTTAATAAATCATTTTCTTCCTACAGCTGTCTGAGATTGCCCAATAATGATGTTGCAGACTGCATTCTACTCCTGAAGAAATGTGACCAGGTATATAGATATTCCGTCTTTTATTATATTTTAAATTTAAACAGAGATGCTCCCTTTGTTTGCTCACAGGACTTACTAGTCTTACAGTATAAGTGCTTATCCCTTTCTTCACTCGCAGGACTACTAGTCTTATAAAACATCATCCTGCAATATCCACATATACTGGAACCACTGAGGAAGTGTGCAGGTTTTCTACGTATGGGTGGTGCATGATGATGCCTTAGGCGTAAAAAAAAACCAACCTGTGGTTCCGGTTTCATATCGTGAAAAAATTAGGGTCGGTAGGTCGGAAATAAATTTTTTTTTGAATATTTGTTTCATGGTTTTGGCGTTTTTTTTTGCTGGGCGATTTGCAGTAGAGTCCCGACATCAATGTTAACTAGAGATGCGTATTTCCTATGGACGAATTTAGGCAATTTGGTTCAATAATTAGTGTGACAACAGACGCCATTTTGGCAAGCTGTATGAGCAGCCCGCAACCACCTGGAGAAAATAGGGTTGCACGGTCAATCGCGTTGAAAAAATAATAGGGTCGGCAGAAAAAAATAGGGTCGGTCGGGAACCGGAACCACAGGTATTTTTTTTACGCCTTACTTTACTGCCCGCTCTCCTCTGCTGTCTGCAACGCTACTATCCCAACATTGTAATGGTATACTGTTATTTGAGAGGGCCGAATCTGCTTTTTGTCGTTCTGTTACGTTTTGCATTATCTTTTGTTTACAACGCTTATATATTGGCATTTTATCACATTTGGGTGACTGGACAGTTGCTGTAGCATAGTACAATATATTTGCGTGTTAAAGTGCAGTATACTTGTATAAATATGGCTGTATAACAACCTCGACATGTTGACGTATTTATCCCATTTAAGCATTCTAAGTATTTTCTCCTGACCTGAGAAATTAATACAAGGTGATTGGCTCACAGTTCATGAGAGCGAGGTTCCCAGGCCAAATGACGTAATTATCGAAAGCGCGTGTTACAACTAGTAAATCGTTTCAATGTAATCGTTTCAAAAATCTAAGATGCAGGCAACCGTATAATGCCATCATCTCGTCAAATCATTTGTCGTAGATCATTATAGGGACTTCGAAGTTTACTGAATTTCTTACCATTATCTGAATTGACTTTGATGAGGATTTTCATTCAAGTCAGAATTTTCATTCAAGTCAGAATTTTCATTTATGTGTATGAATATATGAGTGTGTGAGCAGAGCAACTAACGAGGGTTGGCCAGTAGCCCTAAAACAGCGGATAAACTAGTGTCCGTATGAATACAAATAAAACATCGAGGCATTTCGAGCGAAAGCCTTTCGTGAGGAAGTTAGTAGCCAGGCTTAGCGATAGAAGATAAATATCATTAATGATTCATGAGTAAATTAGCCAACCATATTGCTTTATTTTGATAATACTGGATACCTGGTGAAGTGTTTTGATCAAGTCCTAGGACTGGATCAAAACTTTAATTCAATCCTTGGACTGGATCAAAATTAATTCACCTCACTTTAAGCGGTGATATATTCGTACGAGATGTCATTTCAAATCCTCCAATTCGGACTGATGGACGGACCAACTCGGCTTCGCCTCAGACTTGATCAAATTGCGCAAACTTGAAATATAGCCCAGTCCTCATAGTCGGACTTGAACTATTACAATGACTTACTGTACCATCTCAGTCCGGAGATTATTACAAAATCTCTTGAGATTCACCATTATCTTTGGATTTCTTCTACACTATAAACTCGAACGATCCGTATATCAGGTATAGTTGAAACCATTTCCATCTCAATTTTCTGGTGTTTTTGGTACTACCTACGTTGACAAATATCGTTCGATTGTATGCCCTCGTAAACAAGATTTTTCTTAGTCATCGTTGTTCTTGTTGGAAGTATAAAACTACAAGCGTACTTTAGATTGCATCCATGATGTAGTGACAACTTCCAAACGCAAGTTCATAAAATAAGTAAAGATGAACTTTTCGTGTGACGATAGATTTTTTTATTGTTTCAGGTCGTTTATATACTCGGTAGCGTATCTTTGCGAAAAGCTGCCGGAACTTTATCAATCCATGGACATCATTTAGTTGATGAGCGATGGTATCCAGCTTGTTCTAGTGGTGCAAACCTTGTAACTCTTGAGTGTAGTTCTCGTCGTCGTGTCAAGTGTACAAGTGAACTTTTGAGCCAGATAGTTGACGATGAAACCAGAAAGGCTGTTCAAGTCAAGCTCAGAAAGAATAGTGATGTTGGATGTATTGTATTATTGAAAGGAAATTGGCTTGTGTCAAGAATGCAGTGTGAGGACGCGTTTGATATTAGCTCGATAACTGTAAGTATGATTGTCTATTTTTTAGTTCGTGGTCCCAGTTATCAGCTTATAAAAAATCGTCGGTATCTTTTTGTTCTTACAAGCACAAACGACCTGGAAATTGGAACAAACCTTTTTACTTTTGAAGTTGTCTCGAAATCTTTCAATAACTCATGCATAAGTAATTTTCGTAGCCATTATGTTATCTGAACATGTGCTCTCATCTCATGTCCCTTCCGTTTCCAAATTAGAAATAGTGACTGTGCATGATTGATTAATTTAACAACTTCAATGCCTCAATGGAATATTTCAATGAAGAGACCTTGTCCATATGCTACTTCCACTAAATGTTTTCCAGCTTTTATGTAAATACTTTATGTTAGTCATTATAATAAAAAATACGAACTTTCCGATAATAAGCACCCAAGCCTAGAAGGATTTCCGAACAATGCGTGCCTGTTATTTGCACATGCCCAAACACTAACAGCCGCTTACCTTTTATCGCCATGCGCATGCTGGTATCAAATGCCAGAAATTACTGACCATAATAACTAACACACTAACTGCGCTCTTTGTTGTTAACTAAGTTAAATTGCATTTAACTGCATTAAGTCCGAATGCTCACTGCATTAAGTCCGAATGCTCCCTACTTGGTGGCACTATTTTGGGTCAATCAGACTATCTGTTCATGTGTATATATTAGCTAATTCATTAAGTTGCACTACACTACAGTGCGGCGTACTGTACTTATACCGGTCAGGAACGCTGAATGAGGTTGCACCATTTTCCCCATCATTTCTACTCGTCTGAGTGTGTATTCACTGTATTGTGGGGTTACTTCTCAGTATGTTGTTATTTCTGTGAATGTTGGTATTTATGTCTATGTTGCTGTTATTCATTTCAACACGCATGCAAATGAAGACTATGCTTGTGCTTACAAGCCTTTACACCTGCGGTCTTTTTTACACCTGACCAAAAACATTCAAGATGTTGTATATTATTTTGAAAGGGCATGTGAAGTCATACCACGCGCTGCAATCTGTCATGGAATTTTGCTGGTACTGATAAAAAGCATCCATTGAACACATTTTTATTTTGTTAGGAAACAGAGGATATGGGATTGCATCAACGAGAACTTCAAAACAAAACAGCTGATCTTGGTTTCACTCTGGTAAGACTCTGCCGTGTACAAGTCTATTTTATCTTTTTATCTACAAAAAACCTTCCCTTTGAACAATCTAGCATTTTTGTCTTCCATTTTTAAGGAATATTGAGTATACTAGTACGAGAGCACTCTCCCCTTTCTTTAACATCCCCCTCCCCCCCCCAAAAAAGTGCTTGAATAATACTCTGATAGGCCTTTCTGGTCCATGTACGGCAATTACAAATGTAACCGGTGTCAACCTCGTTCCCAGGGCTTCAGTGTGGGACGAGGCGAGACACGAGGAAGCCCTGGTCCGGGCCGGTCACTTTTGCATTCTGATTGGCTAACACCATATTGTCTAAAAATAACTGAACTTGACGGTTGACAATAACAAATTACAATACAATTCAACATTTGTATTTTTATGATTCTTGTGTGTACGAGTATGCTTTGCAAAATAATCTTTCAAAGTAAGACGTTTTCCCGACTGCACGATTTACTTCCGCCTCGGCCGGTTACAAAACTCAAAAGCCGTGTCGAAGTGAGCTGTGATGTTTCCTGACAAAACAAGAAATGTCTACTATTATTTAAGTTTTCCTTGTACAGTATTTATTAGTGCAGATGTCTGATGAAATACTACGCGTATTGCATTGTAGTAATATTTTAATTTACAATATTTTGTACTGACAAATAAAAGCAGGACAAACAATTAAATGAAACTACTAAATTAATTTAGGCCCTGTTTACTTAATAGCTCTACGCCTAGGCCGATGTAGTCTACAAGATTCGCACGCCACCCAGTTTTTCAGTTTCAGAATACGCCGAATACTTGAAAATTGCGACTATACGATAAAATAAAACAAAGATTGTGAAGGGGATAAAATTTGTAGGCAAGCATTGCTCCTGAACGGCAAGTGTTGGTGTCCGGCGAAACAAGCGAACCGTATATTCCTGTACAGCGTAAACAGGTTACGCGAGGTTTTATATTTGTGTTTATTTAATATATTGAACTAAGTCAGATCTATAAGAGCATATTTAAACTAAATATTAATTATAGCAATAGCCATATTGTTCAAGACGAGAGAAAGGAAATTTCGTGTGAATCACCACTTGCATGGAGACGCCTAGATGCAGCTTGGATGCAGAGCTTTGCCTGTAGTTGAAAATCTCCAGAAATATCGGTATATCTTAGAAAACATAGACGGGATCTTCATAGATTTTAGCTGATTCGTGTCAAACTTCGCTCTACACATAAATAATATCGATTGAGAAGTCTTTTGGCTATTTATTTGTTTCGAAGACTTGTATATTTCATTAAAGAATATCTCGCCACTCCTTGACGAGTAGCTGTCAAATACTGCCATTTTTGACGTCACGTGACCGGACCGGACCAGGGCTTCCTCGTGTCTCGCCTCGTCCTCACACTGAAGCCCTGGGAACGAGGTTGAACCGGTGTGTTACATTTTGTTCTCGCACTAATTTGCAATCCGATCTGCATCAGCAATGCTAATATGGCTCATTGCTAAGATGTCCATTACATCTATGATAGGGCTATAACATTAGTTTCGGACTCAATTTAGCTATCACGTGCTTTTATTGAAAACTTATGTGAAAGAAATTTACAAAGAATTAAAATTTTGGAACTTAAAAAAATGTATTGTACTTCTGTTTCGTTTTTAGTGTGAAGTTTCACTTCACACTATTGTGATGGCTGGCAAATTCACACGAATCAGTCAATCAGTCATAGAGTAAACTTTCCGGGAGGTGTATACGATTTATTTTCGTAGTGATTTATTGTACTTAGTCAGTACTTTGAAGGTTATTTAGGCAATTTTAGTTAACTTATTTACATATTCTGTTAACCTTTTGCCAAGTTCACAAAAATATCGAGGAATCGCTTTCGTTATTGTAATTTTTTGTAAATTTTAGAACATTCGCTTCTCATGTTGTGTAAAGGATCTTTACCCCGAAACACCCGATTTTTTCTTTAGTAGCGCAAATGCGCATGCGCTATCAAGCCGTATATCACGATGGCGTGACGATATGCTAGGAAGGAGTGACAGTGTAGTTTTCAGATGTATAAACATTTCAGACGTGAATATTGAGTAAATCTTTGAAAATCTACGCAAAATATAAATTGATCTTATGCATTACGGGCGTTCAATTAAGTTCCGATAATATTTAGACGGTATATTCGTTATACAGAGCTAGGAAGGAGTTAGACCGCCTAGACAGTGCAGTCAAGTGTATAAACATTTCAGACGTAAATATTGTTATATTGAGTCGAAAATCTTTCAGATTCTAGGCATTCAATTTAGTGCCGATATTATTTTCACGGCATACTCATTATACAGAGGTACAGTACGTAGGCAGAAGCAAGACAGTGTTGTTTTCAAGTATATAAACATTTCAGACATGAATAGAAAATCTTTGAGATTCTACGCAATAATACAATATATAAATTTATGTTATGCATTACTATCAGATCAATAAAGCATAAACAACTATTAAATAGAAGCGGGTAAACGTTTGTACGGCGTTTAGTAGTTTACGAAGAAAATAACTTGCGAGACTCCTTTATACAGAGCTCCTTATTTAAATAAGAAAGACGAAGAGATAGCCAATGGCAATGTGTTATCGCCAACGTGTCATAATTAGGTTAAAATGCGGAAGGGGATGGAGCGGATCCACGGAACGGATATGCGGATAAAATACGGAACGGATGAGGATAAAATGCGTCCTTTTAATGATGTAACCAGGGCGCTTATATAATGGGCGGTGAAACGGATATAGGCGCGCTGATCGATGTGTGATGCGGCAGACTGGTAACAAGTCAAGTTAGTTAGTAAAATAAATAAACATGGCGACTGCAAATTCGGAATCATTGTCAAACTCAAATACGGAGTTTTTCTTAGACGAAGAAGCTGAAAGCGAGCTTACACTTTCCGTCCCACATTCTAATCGTGTTGAATA